GCTGCAGCGCGACGCACGCACGGCCGAGGTGAGGGAGGATGGAGCCTAGCCTGGAGCTGACCGCGGGCACGGCTGGTCAGCCACGCCTCGCTCTGCCACGCCTCGTGCTCATCTGGTCATCTACACCTTGTCCTGCATGCTCCTTGTGCACACCTGCTCAGCCACGCCTTGCTCTGCATGGTCCTTGTGCACATCTGGTGATCCTCTTCTTGCTCTGCCACTCCTCATGCACATCCACAGCTTGTCCTGCATGGTCCTCATACACATCTGGTCACCCACGCCTTGTCCTACATGCTCCTTGTGAACACCTGGTCATCCAAACCTTGCTTTGCATGGTCCTTGTGCACACCTGGTCATCCACAGCTTGCTCTGTATGCTTTTCATGCACACGTGGTCATCCACACCTCACTCTGCATGGCCCTCGTGCACATCTGGTCACCCACACCTCGCTCTGCCATGCCTTGTGCACATCTGGTCATCTACACCTTGTCCTGCATGGTCCTTGTGCACATCTGGTCAGTCACGCCTCTCTCTGCCATGCCTCGTGCACGGCTGGTCACCCACGCCTTGTCCTGCATGGTCCTTGTGCACATCTGCCCACCCACGCCTTGTCCTGCATGCTCCTTGTGCACATATGGTCATCCACGCCTTGCACTGCTCGCTTCTTGTGCATACCTGGTCATCCAAACCTTGCTTTGCATATTCCTCGTGCACATCTGGTCATCAACACCGTGTCCTGCATGCTCCTTGTGCACATCTGGTCACCCACACCTTGCTATGCACGCTTTTCATGCACACGTGGTCATCCACACCTTGCTCTGCATATTCCTCATGCATATCTGGTCATCCACAGCTAGCTTTGCATGCTCCTTGTGCACATTTGATGATCCCCTCCTTGCTCTGACACACTTCATGCACATCTGGTCATCTACACCTTGTCCTGCATGGTCCTCGTGCACACCTGCTCAGCCACGCCTTGCTCTGCATGGTCCTTGTGCATATCTGGTGATCCCCTCCTTGCTCTGCCCCTCCTCATGCACATCTGGTCATCCACACCTTGCCTTGTGTAGTCCTTGTGCACACCTGCTCAGCCACACCTCATGCACATCTGGTCATCTGCACCTTGTCCTTCATGGTCCTCGTGCACATCTGGTCACCCACACCTTGCTATGCGTGTTTCTCGTGCACACCTGGTCATCCACACCTCACTCTGCATGCTTTTTGTGCACATCTGGTCACCCCATGCCTTGCTCTGCATGGTCCTTGTGCACATCTGGTCAGCCACGCCTTGTCCTGCATGGTCTTCATGCACATCTGGTGATCCTCTCCTTGCTCTGCCATTCCTCGTGCACATCCACGCCTTGTCCTGCATGGTCCTAGTGCACATCTGGTCACTCACACCTTGCTCTGCCATGCCTCGTGCACATCTGGTCATCTACACCTTGTCCTGCATGGTCCTCGTGCACACCTGGTCATCCAAACCTTGCTCTGCATGCTTTTTGTGCACACCTGGTCATCCACACCTTGCTCTGCACACTTTTTGTGCACATCTGGTCATCCAAACCTTGCTCTGCATTCTTTTTGTGCACACCTGGTTATCTCCTCCTTGCTCTGCATGGCCCTCGTGCATTCCTTGTCATGTTTACCTTGTCCTGCACGTTTCTCATGCACACCTGGTCATCCAAACCTTGCTCTGCACACTTCTCATGCACATCTGATCACCCACACCTTGCTTTGCATGGCCCTTGTGCACATCTGGTCATCCACACTTTGCTCTGCATGCTTTTTGTGCACACCTGGTCATCCAAACCTTGCTCTGCACACTTTTTGTGCACATCTGGTCATCCAAACCTTGCTCTGCATGGCCCTCGTGCATTCCTTGTCACGTTTACCTTGCTCTGCACGCTTCTCATGCACACCTGGTCATCCACACCTCGCTCTGCGCATTTCTCATGCACACCTGGTTATCTTCTCCTGTCTCTGCATGTTTCTTATGCACACCTGGTCATCCAAACCTTGCTTTGCATGGCCCTTGTGCACATCTGGTCATCCACACTTCGCTCTGCACGCTTTTTGTGCACATCTGGTCACCCCATGCCTTGCTCTGCATGGTCCTTGTGCACATCTGGTCAGCCACGCCTTATCCTGCATGGTCTTCATGCACATCTGGTGATCCTCTCCTTGCTCTGCCATTCCTCGTGCACATCCACACCTTGTCCTGCATGGTTCTTGTGCACACCTGGTCATCCTCTCCTTTTTCTGCACACTTCTTGTGTACATCTGGTCATTCAAACCTTGCTCTGCACACTTTTTGTGCACACCTGGTCATCCACACCTTGCTCTGCACGCTTTTTGTGCACACCTGGTCAACCACACCTTGCTCTGCATGCTTTTTGTGCACACCTGGTCATCCAAACCTTGCTCTGCATGGCCCTCGTGCATTCCTTGTCACGTTTACCTTGCTCTGCACGCTTCTCATGCACACCTGGCCATCCAAACCTTGCTCTGCACATTTCTCATGCACACCTGGTTATCCCCTCCTGTCTCTGCATGTTTCTTATGCACACCTGGTCATCCAAACCTTGTTCTGCACACTTTTCATGTACACCTGGTCATCTCCTCCTTGCTTTGCATGGCCCTTGTGCACACCTGGTCATCCACACCTTGCTCTGCACGCTTTTTGTGCACACCTGGTCACCCACACCTTGCTTTGCATGGCCCTTGTGCACATCTGGTCATCCCCTCCTGTCTCTGCATGCTTTTTGTGCACACCTGGTTATCTCCTCCTTGCTTTGCATGGCCCTTGTGCACACCTGGTCATCCAAACCTTGCTCTGCACACTTCTCATGCACATCTGATCACCCACACCTTGCTTTGCATGGCCCTTGTGCACACCTGGTCATCCAAACCTTGCTCTGCATGCTTTTTGTGCACACCTGGTCATCCAATCCTTGCTTTGCCCACTCTTTGTGCACTCCTGCCCTGTTTGCCCACTCCCCCCGTGCCGGACACTGCCCATCCCTGACCATCCATCCCGTGCCAGGACGCCTACAACACCGTGGTGCGGTATTTCGGCGAGAGCCCCAAGACGACCCCGCCATCCGTTTTCTTCCCGGTGTTTG